ACAGGTCACTCACCACAGTAACCAGTCACTCACCACAAGAAACAGGTCACTCACCACAGTAACCAGTCACTCACCACAAGAACCAGGTCACTCACCACAGTAACCAGGTCACTCAACACAAGAACCAGGTCACTCACCACAGTAACCAGGTCACTGACCACAAGAACCAGGTCACTCACCACAGTAACCAGGTCACTCAACACAAGAACCAGGTCACTCACCACAGTAACCAGGTCACTCACCACAGTAACCAGGTCACTCACCACAGTAACCACGTCACTCACCACAAGAACCAGGTCACTCACCACAAGAACCAGGTCACTCACCACAAGAACCAGGTCACTCACCACAGTAACCAGGTCACTCACCACAATAACCAGGTCACTCACCACAAGAACCAGGTCACTCACCACAGTAACCACGTCACTCACCACAAGAACCAGGTCACTCACCACAAGAACTAGGTCACTCACCACAGTAACCACGTCACTCACCACAAGAACCAGGTCACTCACCACAAGAACCAGGTCACTCACCACAGTAACCACGTCACTCACCACAAGAACCAGGTCACTCACCACAAGAACCAGGTCACTCACCACAGTAAACAGGTCACTCACCACAAGAACCAGATCACTCACCACAAGAAACAGGTCACTCACCACAAGAAACAGGTCACTCACCACAGGAAACAGGTCACTCACCACAGGAACCAGATCACTCACCACAAGAACCAGGTCACTCACCACAGTAACCAGGTCACTCACCACAAGAACCAGATCACTCACCACAAGAAACAGGTCACTCACAACAAGAAACAGGTCACTCACCACAGGAAACAGGTCACTCACCACAGGAACCAGATCACTCACCACAAGAACCAGGTCACTCACCACAGTAACCAGGTCACTCACCACAAGAACCAGGTCACTCACCACAAGAACCAGGTCACTCACAACAAGAACCATGTCACTCACAACAAGAACCATGTCACTCACCACAAGAACCACATCACTCACCACAAGAACCAGGTCACTCACCACAAGAACCACATCACTCACCACAGTAACCAGTCACTCACCACAAGAGCCAGGTCACTCACCACAAGAACTAGGTCACTCACGACAAGAACCAGGTCACTCACCACAGTAACCACGTCACTCACCACAAGAACCAGGTCACTGACGACAAGAACCAGGTCACTCACCACAGTAACCAGGTCACTCACCACAAGAACCAGGTCACTCACAACAAGAACCAGGTCACTCACAACAAGAACCAGGTCACTCACCACAGTAACCAGGTCACTCACCACAAGAACCAGATCACTCACCACAAGAACCAGATCACTCACCACAAGAACCAGTTCACTCACCACAAGAACCAGATCACTCACCACGTAACCAGGTCACTCACCACAAGAACCGGGTCACTCACCACAAGAACCAGGTCACTCACCACAGTAACCAGGTCACTCACCACAAGAACCAGGTCACTCACAACAAGAACCAGGTCACTCACCACAGTAACCACGTCACTCACCACAAGAACCAGGTCACTGACCACAGTAACCACATCACTCACCACAAGAACCAGTTCACTCACCACAAGAACCAGGTCACTCACCACAGTAATCAGTTCACTCACCACAGTAACCAGTCACTCACCACAGTAACCAGTCACTCACCACAGTAACCAGTCACTGACCACAGTAACCAGTCACTCACCACAGTAACCAGTCACTGACCACAGTAACCAGT